TGAGATCCAATGAGGGGACAAGAGGAAGAAGGACTAGAGAGGCGTGGTATCAGGAAAGTGAAGGAGACCTTTAGCAATGAGAAGGGGTAATTAATAGTGTCACAGGTTATAAGAAAACTAGATGGCGAATTCTTTCAAAAGAGTTCACTGCACTTAGCCCTGTTGGTGTACTGGGTTACAATTTGGGCTGCTAATCGCCAAGGTCAGCAGTTGAAAACCACCAGCTGCTCCATGAACTTTGTACTCCTGTAGTGTTAGTCTCAGACGTTCTACCTCGTCCTGGTCTCTATGAGTAGGAATCACTTTGACGGCTGTGAGTTAGCACACTTGGCCACAGAAGAGACCTCTGAGGGTTGTAGGGAGGCATGGTAAGCAAGGCTCAGTTGTATGTTAGGAATAGAAACCAGATCAAGTGAACTGGGAAGTGGATTAGAAATAAGATTGAGGGGCAGTGAGTGTGTGATACTCTTTTCAGGAGCTTCACTTAAAAGGAAGACAAAGGCAGGTGCTGATTAGAAATAATGTAGGATCGGGGAAGGCTTTGTTTTGTTGCTTGCTTTTTAAATAATTAATTTTTTTATGATGGAGAAGTAGAATGGATCCACAAAGGAAAGAGATGTTCAAGGAACAGACAGAATGGTTGGTGTAGACAATTCCCGGATGCTTATTGAAGGCAATAGCAAAACTGGGCTTATTTGTCCAAGGAAGAAAGATCCCTTCTCCTCGGAAGTTAGAGGAAAGGACATAAGAGTTGGCCTCGGCAAGTTTCAGGATGATTAAGGGGAGGCAAAACTTTGGGATGTCTTGCCTCATAATCTCAATTTTGTTTCTCAAAGAAGTACTATAGTACCTGCTCAGAGTGAGGGAAAGGGTGCCAGGGTCATAGATTGGACATTTTGGGATCACCATTACGTGAGCAGCAGAGCGGCTGACAGAATTTCTTGGCACCAGGGAGCTAGTGCTCAATGTACAATGACATCACCTAATGCTCCTGTGTGACTTCCCAGACAGAACCTAGTGACAGCCTGGTGCAGCAAATGCAAATGTTTGAATTTAACCAGAGCTGGTGGTTTGACTTTCGAGTTTAGTGGATGCGCCGTTTGAAAAAGAAGCTGGAGCTGTGAATCCCGAGTGAATGGATTCCGAGACTAGCTTAGAGAGCCCAGGATTTGAAAGTCAGCCAGAAGACTGTCATGATGAGTGATGAAGAGCAGGCATAACAAAAAGTAGGGAATGAGCGAATCGGTCCGATTGGGAGCTGCAGCCAGCAGGGAGTTCTTGTTTCAAGCACAGCAGCCTGGATAAAACCTCACAGGTGATGGAAGAGGCACTGAGTTAAGGATATCTGAGAATATGGACGTTTCCCAAAGGGTGGAAAGCCTTGGCCCTGGAGTCAAGACTATCTGCGTCTGTACCCCAGTGCCAGACGCAGAGGAGATGTAGTCACCCTCTCCAAGTCTTTGTTGAAGGAAAAGAGAAATATCCAATAGCTCCGCCCCAACTCTGGCTTGATGTATAAGTTACTTGGATACCTGTTGTTAATCAAGCTGATTTTTAGCATCGTGGTGCAACTTTTATAATAAGGGCAAAAGGGTAAACCGCAGTCACTAGGATTTCTCTGATCTCATTTTAGAATTTTCCACACAAACAAGTGCACAGTTCTCCGTTTACTGTTTTGTTTGGGTGGATAAAGGAGTGACTCAGCCCCTCTAGGCTGCATTGAATTTAGCAAATTGCATAAATACAAACTTATTGCTCCAAAAATGAAACTGTTTTTAGAGCATTATGATCATTTTTTTTGCCATAATAGCAAACCATGACATTAGTTATGGAGGAAAATTAAATTTACCTTCACTTGAGTCACAGCTCAGGGCTAATGGAATCTGGAACTCAAAATTCTGCTTCCAGAGCCAAGGCAACTTGCTCAATGTTTCCAGCATCTTCATTTGTCATTGCCTTAGTTCAATGTAGATGCTATTTTTTTTTAAGCTCACAATGTCTATTCACACTTGAACACATGTCCTTTTCACCTCACTTTTGTCACCCCAGGTGTTTGGAACCTCAGATTCCGAGGGCCAGTTTCTGGGACACACTGAAAGGCCTTAATTTCTGAATTTTTGTCACTACTTTGCAATGCTTTACAAAGATAGTTTAAAGTTAATGCTGAGAACATTCATTTATTTATATATAATTTTCTATAAAAGCAATGTCCTTCCATTTTTGAACTTAAAACAGAACTTTGCTCCTTCTTCGCAAGTTAGAATGTATATTGGTCATAATTTCATATGATTTCTAAATGTGTTATTGATTTTCAAGAGTGAAGACTTTTTTCATATTTAGGAAAATAATACAAATAAATTCAAACTAAGTTCATTTCAAAATCTATACTATGTTGATTCATGTATGGACCAACTTGTGCTGTTGTAGCTGGGAAAAAAAACCCTCAACTACAAGGGGACTTCATACAGTTATGGGAAAATTCCATGATCATTTTCCCTATTAGCTTTTAATTCCACTTTTTAAAAAACTTTTGGAAACCCACTCAGGAAAAGTCTTGATAGGGAGCTTTTTGAATGAATTCCCAAATATAAAAGTTGTCTACTGGGTTCGGCAGGGAGCCCTGGCGGTGTAGCGGTTCTGAGTTGGGCTGCCAACTGCAAGGTCAGCAGTTAGAAACCACCAACTGCTCTGAGGGAGAAAGACTAGGCTTTCTACTCCAGTAAAGAGTTACAGTCTCAGTGTACATCCTCCGGTCCAGCCGGATTTGTAAGGTAGAATTGGGATCATGATAGTGGGGGGGAGGAAGCATTCAAGAGCTAGAGGAAAATTGTATATTTCATCATTGTACACTGCACAGATAGGTACTGGAAACACAGAGACTCCAGGACAGATGAACCCCTGAGGACCAGTGGTGAGAGTGGCAATACCAGGAGGGTGGTGGAAAGGAGAGGGGAAAAGGGGGAACAGATTACAAGGATCTATATATAACCTCCTTCCTGGGGGATGGAGAGCAGAGAAGTGGGTGAAGGGAGACATTGGATGGTATAAGATATGACAAAAGAATAATAATTTATAAATTATCAAGGGTTCATGGTGGAGGGGGAGTGGGGAGGGAGGGGAAACATGAGCTGATACCAAGGGCTCAAGTAGAAAGCAAATTTTTTGAGAATGATGATGGCAACATATGTACAAATGTGCTTAACACAATGGATGGATGTATGGATTGTGATAAGAGTTGTACGAGTCCCCAATAAAATGATTAAAAAAAAAAAGTTACAGTCTCAGAAACTCATAAGGGCAGTTGTACCCTGCCCTATAGGATCACTGTGAGTAATAATTGACTTGATGACAAAGAATTTGAGTTTTGTAATGGGTTAAGCATTGAAATGCAAGGTTAGCAGCTCAGACCCACTATGGGTGAACGATGAAGCGATTTGCTCCTATAACGATTTGCAGTTTCAGACCCTTAAGGAACAGTTCTACCCTGCCTCATCGGATCACTATGTATCAAAATAGACACAATGGCAGTGGACAGATTCCAAATGTAGTAGTGACTATACTGCTATACTAAAGCACTAGTCCTCAATACTCATTGTTTTACAGATTTTCATCTTAATCTAACTAAATTTTTACATATTTTAGGAAGTGAAATGTTAAATGTTTTTGTTAGCAATAGTTTCCAATAATGTGACAAATTTTAAAATATTGGCATGTCTTTAGTTGGACAAAATAATAAGGTCTCGCCAAAATAATACATAACCATTTTTTTTCCATCAGCAATGACTTCTGTTTTAGTGACAACCAATTGCAAACATAGTTATTTGCCCTTTTTTGATAAGGTAAACCCAAAATCAAACCAAACTGAATCGTCTCAAACAATACAATCTACGTGTTCATTTAGACCCTAATGTGCATTGCAATGGCCATACAGCACTCACAGAAAAATTCATGATTCAAGGATTTATTAGGAAGATAATGGGTTATAATGCAGGTGAGACATGCTCAAGATTCAGTTATTCTTCAGCACATGGTACAAAGTTCCTTCATAGCTGCCAACAAATGCCTCTAAACCTCAACTTGGCATTCAGCTCAAGCTCCCGGGGTCAGCACACCCAATTCCCTGAGTTAACTCCCCAGAGGAACCCCACTCCAGGAAGCCTCAGCTTGAATGCACTCAGCTCACCGCCTTGGGTCAGCAAGCTCAGCTCCCCCATTAAGTGCCGAGAGGTACCCTACCCCACGAGCCAGCCTCTTAGCACAAAGCACCCAGCGTTACTTGCTCCATGTCCTGGGAAGTCCATCACGGTGTCATGCTCTGGATGCGGTTCTGCTACTGCCCTCCCAAGGTCACAGCTGTCTTCTGGATCCAGGAGGTTCACCGCACAGGGATCTCAGGGTCCAGAGAACATGCTCCACTCCGGGTTCTTACTAGTAGTGCAAGCCCCTCGACTGCTTCACACATGCCAGCAGGATGGCATTCCAAGAAATCCTGTTCACAGTAACCCCCCGGTGAACCCTCTCAGTTTCTTCCCTCAGCTTCTTACCAGAAAAGGTCGTTTGGTAGGAGATGGAGACTTTGGCTAGAAGAGCCGCAATAATTAATTCACTACCTCTGCACAAATTCACTGGCATAAAGTGCAGTCTCACTCATAATGACCCTCTAGAACAGAGTAGAATTTCCATTTGCATTTCTAAGGCTGTAAGTCTTTACTTACACAGAAAAATACCAGTTTTAAACTGAACTGCTGACCTTGCAGTTAGCAACCCAATCCATAACTCACCACTATACCTCCAGGGCTCATTTAAAGAAAGCTAATATTTCTATTAAAAAAATGATTCCCAACTACTCAGAATAAGGGCCATGTTTCGTATGTTACTTGCTAATGAAATTTACTACAGATGATTCTCATTCCCGTGGCCGCAGACTTCGGTCTAACACATGTTATATGTTCCATGTTTGATAAGAATATGTTCTTACTCTTCGCCTGTTGTATTCCTAGAACTTAACACTGGAATTGGAGAACAGGGAAAAACAGCAACTGCGGATGTTGGACCGACTTAAGGAGATCCAGAATCACTTTCAGACGTGTGAGGCCGAACGTCAGCGCGCCGACCTCCAGATCACCGAGCTGACGCACCACGCGGAGGACGCGACCAGGCAGGCCGAGCGCTACCTCAGCGAGTTCCAGCAGTCAGAGGCCCTGAGAGAGGAGGCCGAGAGGAGGAGAGAAGATCTCAAACGGAAAGCTCAGGAATCCATTAAGCAGTGGAAGCTGAAGCATAAGAAATTAGAGCGAGAGTTGGAGAAGCAGTGTGAGATGCTTGGCGAGTTGACAGACAAGAATAATCAGGTATAAAAGCAAAATTCCTACAACGAGTGGTTTTTGCTGTGACCAACCATTCATTCATCTATCCTTGAGTGCCAATTTATGTATATAATCTATTAATAATCCGTCCTTGGGTAGAGTCTTTTGATCTTAGCTAGTTAGATTCAGAAAACAAAAAGGTTTGTTTTTCTCTTTAAGTTTTGAAATAAGCCAAGCGTTTCATGGCTTTTCAGAATTGAAATTATTTTTTGATACTCAAATAGACAAAAGAAACCACCAAATCTTCCTTCATCTCCTTTTTTTTCTAGAAGGTCATTGCTGGAGAGTTGGTTCTGACTCCTGGCAACCCCAGATATGTAAAATAGAATTGCTCCATCAGGTTCCCAGGCTGTGGTCTTTCAGAAGCAAATCCCCAGACCTGTCTTTCTAGGCAGTCCTGGGTGGATTTGACCCATCACCCTTTTGACTAGCAATTGTGAACGTAACCATTTAACATCCCTAATTGCATGTGTTTTGAAGTGTCTTCCATTTGTACAATTTAACCTAGGTGTTGGTTAGAAAGAAACCTTTGAAAAGGTAGTTGTTAGGACTAGTTTATTTTCCGGCAGTAGCTTCGCTAAAGTGAGTGAGATCGACAAGCTCAGTGACTGAGCAGTGTTATTGGATCACGGTGCTCTTCGCGACTCTGGTACTGTGCCCTTCTGGCAGCATCTGCAAGCCTTTTGCTTAGCTGTATATGCATTCCACATTATCTTTTGTATAATCAGTTTCTCAAGTGGATTTTATGCTGCTATGCTGATTCTCTGCAATATCATTGGCTTGCATTAAACCCAGATGTTTATAAGACAATAAGCAGAAAAACCATGATGGATTTTATCCTTGTTCAGTCTTGGTACATCATTGATACTTTGTCATTTGTCACTTGTCAAGAACTCTGAACATTGCAGGAGAGGAATCATGTGGACGAGTTGACTTTGTTCTCCCTAAAGAAAACAAAATGCAAGGCAATTATGTTTATAAAATCAATTGTCAGCACTTGGAGTGACAGACACTTATTTCAGTGGAGATGTCACAGAGAAGATGCTATCCATCTTCCCTGAGAGTTTCTTGGACAGAGAAGATGAAGGAAGTGATCACGTGGCCCTCACCGTGGGGTGCTTTTTAATTTAACCCCTCTGACACAGACTGGAGCCTGGTTGCCCCGAGGCAAAGGTGTTCCAAAGCTCCTAGACTTGAACCTGAACCAGTTTGTTCTTGGGAGATTGCTTTACCATGGCTATTCTGTTATCATCTTAGTCTGTCAGCTAGTTAGATGAACCCTAACTGTAAGGGAACTAGAAGAGTGTTTGGGAGATTGATTGATTAGTTGAGAATCATCTGAGATGATTTTACTTAAGTAGAGGAAATTGAGAAGGTTACGTGTCATCAGACAGTATCCGAGTCTATGGTACTGAGGGCTTTCTAGATTGAGTTTTTCAGAATATTAATAATAGTTAAACAATCACTTCCCAGAACACTCCTGATAAAATTATTTTTATCACTTGGCATTGCTAATGATAAGCAAAGAAGGAGTTTTAAAGTGATTGCCACGGTTAGGGTGGTATGGCAATTATCACAGCAGGCATTGTAATTTCCCCTTTAAAAGCCTTTAAAATTAATGCAGCATGTCTCAGTTAGAGCAATGGTTAATCAAGGAAGAAAGGGTATGAACCATTTCATTGCAAATTCATTGCCCAGTACATGTACGAGGTGGAAATACATTGTAAGTAATTTAGGGGTGGAAAAATGTATTTTAAAAAATATCTCATGATTACACCTTTGGATCGAAAGCTCACACCCTTTACTGTGGAATCGCTTTTGACTCATACCGACCCCTGTAAGACAGAATAGAACTACAAATGTCCAAAGCTGTAAATCTTCGTGGAAACAGGTCAGTCACATCTCCCCCAGGAACAAGTGCATTTTAACCAGCTGAACCTGTGAGCGGGAGTGCTTTAACCTCTGTGCCGTCAGGGCTCCTTGAATATGCTACCCAGTCAATGCTGACTCACAGCAACCCTGCAGGACAGGGGAGAACTTCCCTTGTGGGTTTCCGAGACTGGGACTCTTTACATGGGTAGAAAGTCGCATCTTTCTCCCGCAGACTCTGATGATTTTAACCACTCTGACCTAGTGGTGGTCAGCCAATTCATAATCACTGCACCACTGGTGCTCAGTATACCCTGAAGGCGTATTTCTTCCTTAAAATACTGATAACACCACCTTAAAACTGTATGCAGTCTATTCCGTTTTGGTTTCGGGTCTAATTATTTTTAAATTGTGAATTCAGGATATATTTCAAAGGAGATGTTAAAAACAAAGATAGTGATTCACAAATGTTACTCATTTTAGTATGTAGAATAAATTAATTGCTCAATAAGTAATCTTGTTGAGCCATTTTTCATACTCAAATGAAGCAATCTCTGTATTTTCAAATGATTTGGTTCTTTCCTATTTTCATTTTTTATCCAAACTAATTTATTTTCTGTTTTAAGATTTGCCACTTAAAAATGCATTAGAAGGCACAGGGCTTTTATTCTCTTAAAAAGGGCTCTGATACTTTTTTCCCTCTGTCTTACACATTTTGGAATCTTGACAAGATTACTAGATATATGTAATATTATAAAACTATACCATTACTGAGAGATTTGTAATAGCAAACAAATAGCCTATCATTGTAGGTAAAAACACAAACCTAAGGAATATTGGATTGTATCTTTTCCTTGAAAGGCAGCGGCTTGAATGCTTTACATTTGGGGCTTGTGATATCGAGATGAGTGCATATTGGAAACTTTAAAACTGGATATAAAAAATATAGTCACCAGTTGTGATATTTTCATTTACTGCTTTCCCTTTTAGTGTGGGGTTTGAAGTCATTGGTTTTTAATATGTGCTTTGAAAGCAACAAAGGAAAATATTTGGAGAAATATTTGGACTCCGATCACAGCGTATACTTTTCTGAGTGTTTCCAATTTCTTTCATATTCGTTTTTAGCGTGGGTGATGAGAAACCTTTCTAGTTTCTCTTTCTTCCTCCTGCTGCATTGGCAGAAAAATGGCGTTCCCTTGTATTGAGCTTTTTGCTTGATAGTATTTGACTTCAAGAATCTTAAAAGTGCCATCTTTTTCTTCCACGTATTACTTGCCTGCTGAGTGAAAAAGAGCTACATGTAATGTGCGTTGTCGTTGTCGTTTTAAATGCCTTTCAGTTGGTTTCAGTTCTTGATGACCCCGTGTGCAGCGGAACAAGACATTGTCTGGTCCTGCACCATCCTCACCATCCATCACTGGTTTGTTTGAACCCATTGGTGTAGCCACTGTCTCAGTCCACCTCATTCGAGGTTTTCCCTTTTTGCTGACCATCTGCTTTGTCAACCATCGTGTCCTTCTTCAGGGACTGGTCTCTTCAAAAGTAGCTGATATGAAACCTCGCCATCCTTGCTTCTAAGGAGCATTTCTGGCTGTAGTTCTTCCAAGATAGGTGTGTGTTTCCTTCTGGCAGTCCATGGTATCTTCAATATTCTTTGTGAATACCACCATTCAAATGCATCTGTTCTTCTGCAGTCTCCCGCATTTATTGCCCAGCTTTGCCACGCATAGTAGGCGATTGACAATGCTATACGGGGAGGAGACAGTCAGGGTGCAACGCAGCACTGATGAAACATACAACTTTCCTCTAGTTCATTAATGCTTCCTCCCTCCACTATCATGACCCCAATTCTACCTTACAAGTCTGGCTAGACCAGAGCATGTACACTGGTACAGAAAAGAACTGGAAACACAGGGAATCCAGTACAGATAAACCCTTCAGGACCAATAATGAGAGTGTAATATCAGGAGGGGACGGTGGGGGCGGGGGGGGGGAGAAAAGGGGAACAGATTACAAGGATCTACATGTAACCCCCTCCCTGGGGGACAGACAGCAGAAAAGTGGGTGAAGGGAGACATTGGTCAGTGTAAGATATGAAAAAATAATAACTTGTAAATTATCAAGGGTTTGTGAGGGAGGAAGGGGCGGGGAAGGAGGGGGAAAAATGAGCTGATACCAAGGGCTTAAGTAGAAAGAAAATGTTTTGAGAAAGATGATGGCAACAGATGTACAGATGTTCTTGACACAACGAATGGATGTATGGATTGTGATAAGAGTTGTACAACTTCCAATAAAATGATTTATGAAAAAAAAAGAGAAAATACTATGCCTTGGTTCTGACACATCTTCATCCTTAAGGTGACTTGTAAAATATGCTGTCTTTAAAATCTGATTTTTAAAATAATGTTTGAAAAGTCAGAAGACCCTGTGCTAATAGGCACACTTACTGAATGTGTATGTACTCCTATCATAAATAATTGAAAAAATGCTGGAATACTGATGGATTAGTACAGTCCAGCAGTTTGTCTGTCTGCGTTTTTCCATTTATGCCAGAAAATACCATTAAAATTAGTTTCCCCTTTCCTACTTTTTTCCCTAATTAAAAGCAACCCCAAAGACAAACAATTCTTTGCAGTCAGACTCTTGAGGGTTTGGCTCGTGGTCCTATAAGCATGGCGATGTTGGATAGTCCTACTCTCCTGGTTTCGTACCATCCTTCCAGCGCTGCCTTCTATAATCTCACCGTCCAGCTCTGCTCCTGGGGAGCTGGCTTACCTCGTTATAACATTCTATTCTTAAGCTTACTGCTCTGTGGTCTTCCAGTGTGATTCCAAATTTTCCCAGGATTTTGGCACCTGACTCCCCCTTGGCATGTGTCATCGTATGGAATTCTTGCCACTATCCTTGTTTACTTCATTATTCAAGTCAGCAAGCGATTGAACTTCGGATCCTTATTCCTCAGTCACTTTCTTATTTCACAGTGACCTTCACATTGCTCCATTTCAACAGCTAATTTCTGTGGTCAATGCTTGTCGTCCTGTCACTGTTCTGTGTTCAGATCTTCTGTTCCAAAATGCCAACTGCTAATATTTTTTTATTTTTGCAGTTCTTTGATT